CAATTGGTTCAACGCGGCAAACCTACTGACAGCACATTTTGGGTTCTGGTAGGATCACAGGATGAGGAATCATTTAAATACAATGATCTGTGTCGTACAGAAGACGATGAACCGTTCTTTTTATCAACTGGATTGATAGCTGGCAACGATGTATTTAATGTGACGTTTACTTCAGTGATCGGTCTCCATTTTTATGATTTCCCTCTATTTCCTTCAAAAAATGGTATGTATACGTTTGACTATGTCATCAATAATTAGAATCCTTTCTGTAGGACTGATATGATTTCGCATCAGGGCTTGCAAAAAAAAACATCACATTCTTTGTCAGAACAAGTGAAAAAAGTGAGGCGGTTGACAGAGCACACATATTATTGCAGGTTCAAACAATTTGTCAACAGAGGGCGCTTTGCAGTGGCGACTGGATACATTTAGTTTTTTGGCCTTATAATATATATGCAATCATTATTTAATAACCTATAAATATAAAAGAAACTTTGGGTAGGATTTATAATTATTGGTTAAACTGTGGTACCTCGATGTCAAACCCTAACAATCACCCACTACTCTATATTTTGTTTCAACTTAAAATGTTAATTATTACATACCCGTATAATTTGGCCCAAACCAAGTAGTAACAAATTATCCACACTAAGTACCGTATGCCGGGATTGATAAGTCGATTTTGCCATCTTAATAAGGTTCCGTGTGTTCTTGTCAAACAGGGGAGTGTTTCTATGACATCAGAGGAATGGACTATCGCGGCACTGTTGGTGTAACAGTCGATGGAGACCAGTGTCAGAAATGGACCGAAACCTCGCCCCATCGCATTCCTTATCCGCCCGATGTGTATGCAGATTATGGTATGGGGGATCATAACTACTGCCGTAATCCGATAGGCGCGCCCACGACATTCTGTTTCACAACGAACCCGTACGTTGAGTGGGGTAAATGCGATATTGGACTCCCCGGAGAAAACTGTGGCAATGACCGTAAATATCGAATATGTATAATCAAATCATGTCTATAAATATGTTAATGCGTTTAAATCTAACAAATATTGTTAATATGGCTTTATCGTTTCCAAACATGCAATAGAAATTCACCTCTCTTTATTTATATCTTTTCAAAATTCAGACATTGCATTACACTCATAGTATTACATTACATTACATACATAGCACTAGACTGTTGTTCAATACTATACGAGTATTAAATAAAATTATCGAACTTCCATGTATTCATAGAAATCTTTCGTGCTTCACTTTTTGTTCCAATGTTTTATTTATCGTTAATAAATGCAGCAAATAGTTTTTTTCTATTTTGCATTGTAAGATGTCAAAATATACGACATGTACCATTTGTCTCTGTAGCCATTCCGGGGATGAGTGGCCGACCACCTCCTGAGCCGGCCCCGACACAAGTGGAGTCTTTAGACAGTTTCCTGACCGGAGAACGCAACGCCAATTACGTAATCGGCGTGGGAAGTGACCATTCATTATACGTCGGCAAACCAGTGGGTGGTCTGTATGATTTCACGGGTCCTGTAGCAGGTACCTGTTGCGTCGTGGATGTACTCCTGTTGGACGATGGAACTCTTTTAGGGGTTGGAGAAGATAATTATTTGTATCGGAAAACGTCTAACGGAATAGCAGGATGGCAGGAGCCCTTGCCACATACGTGCTGTGTTATCAGTATAGCAAGCCAAGTAAATGGCGGATACACGGCCATTGGAACGAATCATCAATTGCTGACACGTGACAATTTGGTGGGTCCATGGATAGACGAGTTCATTCAAAGTACCCCTCTAATGAAAGTTGAGGTCTGGGGGAATGTCATTTTAGCTGTAGACTTCAACTACGATGTGTTAGTGTATGGCAGTGACGGTGAATGGAAGTTGATACAGTTAGACACGAGGGGATTGCCTGTTATGGACGTCACCGTGGCATCGGATGGCAGCTATGGTCTACTGCTATTTGAAATCACAGCTGACCCATTCATTATTTCCATCGCTACTGGAATCTTGCCTCATGATTATCTCCTTGGTAAATAATATATATATTTTAATTAATTACTTTTTTTTTTATTTACTTATTTGTTTGTTCTTATGTTGGCTGGTTTTTAACTCATTGGTTGATTATTTGATTGATCTTATGTTAATAGGCGGGAGCATCCTCTCGACTGTTGCTGCAGGTGGCAATAGAGTTAGTCAAAATCAAGGTAGGTTTTAGTATCAGTAGATAACACCACCACTACCCCATCACCCGCGTGGCAAAAAATAGTATTCACCCAGAATAAAATGCGCACGCGCGGGAATTGAGTCCCAAGCGACGATAAGAACGCCTGCAAAGACTCATGGATAGACGCTTGTTTGTAAAAAAAAAAATGACACGCTATGGCTATCTGACACATTAAGTAATTTTAATATAAAAAAAGGTACATTTTTCTTAGTAACAATGACACCTGTTGTTTAGTATGATGGAACCCCACGGTTGGGTACAGGAGCATATACGTTTATAATTAAAATTGTTTTTCATAAGAAACATGCCATCATAAATGACCCTATAAACAGCCTTTTACTTCATAGTGGGGTGGGTGGAGTAAGGCTGTGATTATTTTTATTACTTTCTGACCATCTAGTTTGCCATTCACCATGCCCATTTCTATATAAACAAAAGCTCCAGACAATATCAGATTTGACTATTTGTTTCAAACTATGGCACTTAGAAATGAGCGTTGTTACATGTGACGAATGTCCAACTGTCTTGGGTAATAAGCTAAACTTCAACTAGAAACAGGTGAACCAGTATACCTGTATCTACGAAGCCAGTGAATGTTATTCAAGCCAAAGAAACTGCATCTATTTATATAAATACACATGAACAGAGAACAAACATGAACAAACAAAAAAACACACAGGCATAGAAATACTAACTTTCTAGGATCTTTATTGGCTCCAAGTAATCCAGAGTAGAACAAGATGAATCAACACTATACTCCACCATCTTTATTTTAATATTAGATGCGACCATTATTTTATAGGGGACAACGGGTCATAACTTGAGGGGAGTTAACACCCATGATTTTAAAAATGCCTTGATCAATAAGAGTCTAAATTACGGGGAACATTTTTCAGTGGACCAATAAATGCATTTGACAGGGAAATATAAAAAGCCTGTCAAATATATATGAATTCCTAGGACAGTTGTCTGTGCTTTGGAGATGGACAAATTCACTGTGATATCTGCACAATAAAAAACAATACATATAACAACCTTGTTTATTTATATTCAACTGTCACTTAATTGCACTGGAAATAATGTCAGGTCAGTAATGGAGTAGAGTGGTGCATGTCAGACAACGTCATTAACTTGTAGGTTTGTCTGATGTTCATATTGTAACTGCCCGGGCAAACATACAAATGACTAGATTTTTTTTCAGATTTCGCTCAAAAACAACACGGGATTCTGAAACCCACTACTCGTTATTTGTTCACAGGCAATGTTCAAATAACATATATCATCATTGGTGTTGTTGGTGCAATTATTTCAATAATTGTAACAGTCGCAGTATGTATTCGCCGACCACGTCCAAGAGAAGAAGAGGAGGAGGAAGCAGTTCAAGATTATCGTGTCCATGGGAGCATTCGTACGGATTGTAAAGTTTAAGAGCAATGTGTCATTAGCAGTTTACTAAGTTGTTGGAATACTTAGTTAATATATTTGGGAATCACGGGGAGAGAAGCGCACTTATTTGGATCAAGGTTTTAGCTTTTTCACGAATAACTTTAACATTTTGATGATTTTCAGAATACGTCTATAATGAATTTACATTTGTGTAATTGTTATATTTAAATTTTATGTATGGACTGTGTGTGTTACAAATTAACTGAATGATTGATTGTAGTTATACACCAAGACCTATTACACGTATACCCACTATCAGTTTGGATGTCAGAGATTTCAGTCACTTAACACAATGCTGAAATAAACAAACCATGCAGCGAGCAAGTTTTTTTTTTTTAATCACGGAAAGTTTTTTGATTAGTTTCGCAAAAAAACAAATTATTTTCACTGTTAGTCTAAGCTGGCAGTAAACAATGGTCAACTTTATATTGTTTAGCCAACTAAACAGCCTTTTTATTTGAACGTAGTATAGTCAGGGTCATTAGATATGGCTGTTATTTCTTACAATATCACTTAATAGCTGATATTTTAGGGGCGTGATAACATTCAATTCCCATGTATATCAGATTCGAATTACGTTTTCTCAATGTCCGATTATCGGACTCGGTGTTCGATCACTGACATTATCCAGGCTGGAAGTCACAAATCACGCCTTCTGTATACATTTTAAAAGTTGTTATACATGTATAACAATTGGTGGTTGTTTATTCTTTGAAAACTTTCACCTTTCATCATATAGTTATGTATTATTATTCAAATACAACGAGGTATGACATTTGGAATTGAATGCACGTGCCAACAAGTAGCGTAAATGTGTAATTAACGAACGTTCATAGTAAGAGCATAATGATGCACTATGAATGTCATTTTGAATATTGTTGTTAGATACTGTATGGTGATGGTCGGGTTGGAGTACGATGTATCATGTAATAAAAAAAGTTGTGTTGGAGCACGCGAAATTATTCGTACGATGACACAGTGATATTTTTTATTACGCATGTACAGGAATTGTTTTAGTGTACGCATTGCACATTTGTAGTAGCGCGTTTCTTCGAATGAATATTGTGACTGCAAATGCAATATTTTAGTTTACGATAAATCTGCGCAAAAACTTTGACCATAGACGACACATAATTTTAACAATTTACTAGAGTGTCTGTCAATATGAAACGGTCATCAAGTAGATCTTTAACATTTGTTCGCTGTCAATATGTAAACATTCGTTGTTATTTGCATCTTCCTAGTGCACATGCGCAGTTTTGACGACAGCTCAACATCACGTAAAGGGCATGAAATAAGTCAACAAAATTATGTGTGTTTATCTTAGAAACAAATTATGGTCTTTATTTTTATTTTATTTTCAAATGTTATAAAAAGCAGAAACGTACAATATTTCTATCAATATTTCAAAACTATATAATCAGCTGCACGTGAGATGTCTATTTAGTTGCGTCTTGACGGTAAAAAAAGTCATCAAATGCGACAAAAAAAATAAATTTGACGTCTTAGGAACAAAGATAGTATATAAGATTAATTAGTAGCCTTGAATAAATTGATAAGAATTAAAATATGCTAAGACTGTAATTGATTAAATGATCTATGCAAATCACATTGTATTTGATCCCTTTCAAGCTATCGGTAGATATAATCTGAGACGGAAGAAACAAATACAGCGTTGTTTTATGATATCTGTCTAAGTTAACAAATTAACATGTACCATAGTGACAGTCGAAAAATTATGCATTATCGCAACAAACGCATGGTGGCGCTCCGGGTGTCTGTAATCTCGTCTAAACGGCGTAAAATACTCGCATTCCATCGCAATATATTGCATTTTCTATTATGTCCACCATCCAGGTGTGCGTAATTTTGTTGTCGGTGTGATTTGATAAGGAAAAGGAATTATACAGCTAATTAGAACCCGTAGTTACACTTCCAGAGTATATATTCGTTTAAAACACAGGGTTTAATTAAAGTTTTCTCGTTATATTTGTTTGAAATAACTATCAGCGTGCAACAATGTCCATGTCCAATTCGTTACCCAGGAACATTGTACATTGGGACATTTACTAAGCTACGTGTTATCACTACTAGTATAAAAAATATATTAATCAGTAGATCTAGTCCCCCTAACACACTCGCTATAGTATTCATATAACATGTGTATGTATCAGCCCATTCATCCCCTTATATAACTTTATCACTACTATAAAAATATATTTGTAGCAGTAAATTCGACCATACCCCCTATTCTCGCTTTCTCTATTATGTCCCCCTAGTACCCTACTCATTATTCTTGATACAAAAAATGTTTATATCCGTAATTTTCATCCAGTCCCTTATCTTATTCGTTATCCTTACTATAAAACATGTTTTTTATAAATAGGAAAACCCATTACAGCACCGTGAAGAAATACACAATAATGAATTCATCTTGGCCAGAAACATTATTAATGACATGTGTCATCGCCGCTAGCGGGCGCGACTTATTGGAACAAACAGTGTACATCGGGTAGATCATGAAATGTGTTTGAATAGTTTATAAATTCGTGCTCCCTGTGGAGCTCCACTGTTGAAACTTTCAAGTCTCTCTACACTTCGTATTTGAATACTTTTCCAGGTTTTTCAGCTCGGAGATCGCAAAATCGTAAATGTTTGGTACTCTTACTGGGTCGACTGGTCTCGTCCTGAAGTGGGCATTGACATGCCTTGATCTCGAACGGGACCCTTTTCTCGCCAATCCGTTGTCAGTTAAGCCGACAAACCATTGTCGCTTGCGTTCTCCTCTGCGTGTGTTCGGGTGTTTATGTGACGCATAAGTTAGATACCAATCTTCGATCAGCCGCTCGTAGAAATACGACTCTTCTGTCAATTCCCTCTAAATAGAAAAAAAAATATTACTCGTATGCGTTTCAGGTTCTTTTATTAACCACTAGTATAGAATGCAGTCGTTTTCGTTATTTCTTTTTAAATTTTATCATTTACGGGAAACGGGTTGCGATGAACCTCGCGTAAATTCGAATGCGTAGAAATAGTGAACAGCGCCACTGTACGGACGACTAAAAATTGAAAAATTGTAGATTATTAAAACCGCCCTCAAGTGGGAGAAACATAATTCAAACTCACCGATCCATAGAGTTTACCCTTGTTGTTCATACTTAGATAGAGACTGGTTTTCACTCCTTTTATGGTAATAACGCCGACTCTAATAGTTTCTATTAACATTATAGCTGAAATAAAACATGTTATAAACATGTTAGAAGTATACATTCATTATAAATCAAAATGAATGTTAGAATTCAATATCAACAATCTAAAAATGGAACTGTGACATCATTATCATTTCTAATGAATTCAACATTGTCCAATCAACAAACGCCTCATTGTTAATATGTTGACAGTCGCAGCTCCTGTGACGTAACACAAAGTTTGAGCTCTTGAGCCAATCACTGTCAAATACTGTATTTGAATTTGAATGAAAGCTGATGATCGGCATTTACAATGTTTATGAAGTGTAAGCAAAGCCCCCAGCTCTGTGCCCTAACTAACAATCGGTCTCTAAACAATAATGCTGCTGAAAGCCCAGCTTTTTAAAAATCAGTAATATCGGTTACACATTTTGTACGTAATTACGAGGCTTATTCAAAATAACCTCTCAAATATATTGTTGTCATGTACTGAAAGAAAATCTTGATAAGTCGGTTGCATATTCACGACACGTCGCGCCACGTCATATCACGTCACATCACTTCACGTCACGCCACACCGCCCAAGCTACATCACATTATTTCCTATCACATCGCATTAGCTGACGTCACGTCATATCCCGTCACATCACTTCACGTCACACCACCCAAGCTACATCACATTATTTCGTATCACATCACATTAGATGCCAGGCCAAGTTACGCCAAGTCACATCAAATCATATCACGCCACGTCCCAATGCATCACATCAGTGAGTATCTAAACGGTGAGCAGAATTTGGCGAGCTGTCTGCTCATCAAATCAGACAAGATGCCCTTGTCGAGAATGGTGGTCAAGTTTACGGATAATGACCCAACTAAACGGGTGGGTAGAAGAGTCGACATTATTTAATATTTAAAAATGAAAGTCAATAAGTTCTTCAAAACGTGTTATTGAAATGAATATACCGCTGTATTGAATAAAAACGGTGTAAACAATTCTGGAAAATGTGTACGTGAAAAACAATCTGCCACCATTTTAAATACTAGTAGTCAACCCTTACTCTGTTTCAAGAGAACATTTGCTAACCCGGGTCGTTTGCAGCAAAGATTCCTTATCTGATTTGGTGGCCAAAATTTTGCTGACTTTTGCTTACCCGACGTCCGTCATGTTATGTTACGTCACGGTTACTAGAAGAACTAGAACTTCCTCTAGTAACCGATGTTACGTCTTGTTACGTCATGTCATGTCACATTGCTACTTGTTTAATTCAGACAAAATATATTTATGTGAATATTACATGTTTTAGTAGTGTGAGTGTCGATGAAAAACGTGTCAAGAAAAACGTGTTAACCTTTTAATAAGCAAAAGAGATGACTAGCAGGTCAACGGGGGTGATTTCGATGGCTTACTGTGAATCGTTCGCGCAATATAAGTGAAGAGTTGCTTCAATAGTTGAACGAAGTGGAAATATTGAAATCGGCAGGTAGTTCAGGGTGCTAGGCGTGTTGCGACATGACCACTGTTGTCATGGTACCACATGACGCAATACATGTGTCAATAAATAGCTATGAGTGCTGATTGAGATTGAGTTCTGATTAAAGTTAAACAACGTGTTTGGATCGGGTGCTGGTGCTCTTGGGTGTTGGTGAACGTAACAATGTCTTTGATTGTGTGCTGGTGTGAGTAAATGTTATATACAAATTTAAACATTGCCTATTGCCAAGTGATTTTTACCAACTACAAAAATTAGTAGCAAGCTTCTATTCTAAAAGCACTTACAACAATATATAATAATAATAATAATAATAATAATAATAATAATAATAATAATAATAATAATAATAATAATAATAATAATTTGTATTCAACACGAAAAACATATTACAGAAGTTGTTTTTAT